GCTCAGTGGTTCCGGCGCCTGCCTCGAAAGCGCAAGGTCCTGAGTTCGATCCCTGGTACCAATAAATAAATAAATAAATAAATAGGGAGGATGGTGGAGTGTGTGTTCATGTTCTGTTTCTGGACAGTTCCTGTGGGTGAACCTGTAGCATCCCCACTCTCACAAGTGATAGTTATGGTCTGGAAACTCTGCTCATCTCTTTATTGCTGTATAAACAATCACATTAACAGCAAAACAGAAGGACCAGCCAGAGCAACCATTTAGAAGAGTACTGAATCAGAGCAGCTGGAGAAATTTAAAGACCTCAGAAATGACTGTATGTACAACTGGATAAGAGCCAGTGATTATTACCAAATAATTGTCAGATGCCAACTTCCAGCACATTCTTCCTGGACCAGAGGGAAATGAGGATACTAGGGTAGCAGAGTTCCTTTTAGAAAGAGTATAATCTCAGGGCAGAAAGCTATAGGGTTTCAGAGCACTGTGTAGGAGAAAATCCTAGACTGGGTTTTCTGATGGGAATGTTTAAGCCCCAGACTTCCAATTGAGACTGTCTCATTTCTGGCCCCTGTTGAGAAAATGAAATTAGACTCCCTTCAAACCATATTTAGTCTGATAATGTTCACTGCCTTCCGGAACGAAGCCCAAACGAGCATACACTCAGTGTGAGATTGGCTGCCAGGGGAACTTTGAGGTAACACCCTTAACCCGAGGCCTGTTCAGAGCAGACTTGACCCTGGCAGGCCTTCTTAGCAGAGCACCTGTGGTGTAGGGAAGCTTGGGGCTAAAGGGGATGAGAGACAGACCATGCCTTTTCCCTGTTGAGTCTTTGGACCAGATACTTATTTGTCATCTGGAGCTTTCTGCTGCATGAGAGATGTTGAGCAGCATCCCTGACCTACCCACCTGGTGCTAATAGCAACCCCCTGAACCCATCCCAGTTGATGCAATCAAAACATTTCAGACATTGTAAAATGTCTCTGGGGTTAGGGGGAAAAATCCCTATCGAGAACCACTATTCTAGGGTGACCAACTGTCCCAGGTTGCCTGGGCAATGCCTGAGGACTCTCCTGGTACAGGAGAATTTCAGTGCTAAAGCTGAACCAGGATGAGCTGGATACCTGACTACATCATTGTTATATTATCTTTCATACTAAAGTGTAAAAGTAAGAAATTAAACATTTTGAAACCTGTCTTTGAGAGGCTTTTTTTTTACGAAGACATCTGGGAGAACGTGACACAGATGTAGTTTCATTCCTTGTTCACATGTTTTCAGATTCTAGAAAGTGTTGAAAATTTAGATTTGGCAAGATGGGCCATTGGGAGGTTTGATCCTAGTCCATGCATGAACTTGGCTCAAACTCTCTGCCTTTCTAGAAGAAAGGCTCTTGTTTGACACCTGGTAGTGAGTGTGAGTGACAGACTTTTTCTTACACTTGTAGGCTGGGTGACAGTATACATCATGAAAGTGACAGTAATAGTGGAGACTAATTTAATTCCATTTTCCTTTGCAGGTCCTGATAAATCATTGCTGTAGGGAAAAATAAATTTTACATTCTCAAACAAAAATGATTCAAATAATGATGTGTTCTGGGGAAAGGGGGCTGAAAGACCCGTTAGTGGGCTTCATAATACTGAAATAGCATTGTGTTAGTCAGCTTTCTGTCCCTCTAACAAAATACCTGAGATGATGACCATATAAAGAGAAAAAATTTATTTTTGGCTCATAGTTTTAGAGGTTGTGGGCCATGATGGGGTGGACCCATTGTTTTTAGGCCTCTGATGGAGGTGCCGGGTCACAGTGTGTGTGTGTTGCGGGGGGGGTGGTTAGCACTGTGGCCAGGAAGCCAGAGAGGAAGAGGAAGGGGCCAGGGTCCCAAGCCCCTTGGAAAAGTACATCCTAATGACCAGAGGACTTCCCGCTAGACCCCACCTTGTAACGGTCCCACTATTCCAGGAGGAATGCCCTGAGGACCCCACCTTTACTATGTGGGCCTCGGGAGACCTTTAACATCCAAACTATAGCACATGTATCATGGGACTTGTCGCAAAAGCCTCCAGTACTTGACCTAGTCTGTGGTTTATACCAGAAAATTCTCCTTCTCAGGCTAAGTTAGAAGAGTCACACAAAACCATAGCAGCCATCTTGGCTAAGAGACTGTACTTTTTTTAGGCCATCTCATTGGAAAAGATAATTGGTTATAAGGCTGCCTATCCTTTGCGAGTTGGAGTATGAAACAGCTAAAAAAAAGTCGAGAATCAGGAGTCCTGACCAATTACGAACAGGAAGAGTCTTCAATATGGATGGAAAATTGCCAGTGGTTTTCATCTTCCTTTCAGAAAATGATTGTTACTTAGGAATGCAGTTCTGCTGGCAGGAATTTTAAATGCTAGAGGAATTAATTATGTGGAGTGCTTGAGAGGAGCCTGGTGGATGTGAGGACTCATGCAAGGGCGATGGATCCCTCCTTACAAGGAGATAGTGAAGAATGGACTCTAGAGCTGTAGGGAGCGATATGCACTTAAGCTAAACAATGCCTTGCTTACTTTTGGGAGAGTCTCCAGGCCTGTTTCAGTCCACTAAAAGCATAAGAAAACACTTGCTTGTGGCTAGAATTCACATCTGCCTGCAGTATTCATTGGCATATTGCTCTGGGGTGTGGGCTTCCGAACAGGGGACCCTGGGGGAAGTTTTGCTCTCTTCCTTTTCCTGCGAGCCAGCCAATGGGATTTTCCCACTCCACATCAACTTCCAACCTCAGGCCTGTTCCAGCCTCAGTGACTGATAGAATCAATCATCAGCAGAAGCTATAAAAGCCCTGTCAGGGAGCCGCTCCATCCTTTGAGAAATGGAAACGTAAGGTAAATGAGCATTTACTGCAGAGATGACTTTATAGGAGTGAGAAATCCTACATTATAGCAGCAAGAAGAAGTGTTATGTGAATTTTAAAATGGCTTTGCCTCTCTCCTCACAGCCCACCTGAGACCAGTGGCCTTCACCTGACAGTCAGTTTCAGAGGAGCTTTGATTTCCTCCATTTGTTGTAAATCTGATTCAGCCCAGAGTTTTGGGTTAGGTTTGGCTAGCCATTGAAAATACATACCTGTCTTTAAAAAAAAAAAAAATCCAGGGCCTGGATACTATCAGAAATGAGAAAAACAATTTAAGAAGATGTACAAGGTACATATCATTTTACTATCTGTGACTGTCATTTATATTCCACATCCAAGTGGGGTTTAGCATCACTAAATAGAGCTTGATGTCTTTCCTTTCCTGTTTATATCAGCTTGGAATCCAGAACTGATTCTTGATGTTCTTTACCCTAAGGAGCTGCATGTCTACATCATCACCCTGGGTCTTACCTACTGCTAAATGATAGTGTCCCAGACTTAGCTGTAGGCACCCAAACAGGAAAGAAGCAAAATGGCAGCCTCTGGGAATGCAGAAAAACCGTTGGATATGGCCCTGGGGGGAAGTAAAATCATGCAGATAAATTTTAAGGAACTTTCATATGTTCCTTAAATGTTATGAGGCATTGGTAGAATTCTCTGGGCCTGCACTAAGCTATAGGGTTTACCTCTGGCAGAAAACAAAACAAAACTTAATTAATATTTAGTTTAGAAAAGACCTTGGGACCTGTTCTTTTTGAGAATTTGTTTGCTGCAAATGGCTGTCCAGGCCTCTGGTCCACGGGAATGGCTCTGTCATTGGATTAGTTTCCGAAGCTGACACAACTGTCATAAACTGGATTTGGCTTAAAACCACACAGATTTATCCTCTTACAGATCTGGGACCAGAAGTAAAATAAACAAGGTGTTGGAAGTGTCTCCTGTAGGGGCCTCTGTTCTGCAATCTCTCCCTGCCCCTGGCGTCTCTAGCAATCCTTGGTGTCCTTTTTCTTCTAACAGTATTACCCCAATTTCTGCTGCTGTCTTCATATGGTTTCTCCTCTGCATGTCTGTGAACCCCAAATCTTCCTCTCCTTTCTCTAATAAGGATGCCAGTCATTGGAGTTAGGGGTACCCTAAATCCAGGATGATTTCATCTTGAGATCCTTTAGTTACATCTACAAATTCGCTGTTTTCAGATGAAATCGTATTCACAGGTATTGGAGGTTAAGATGTAGACATCCTTTTTAGAGACAGGTTCAACCCACTAAATCCATCAAGGAGCTATGTTTTGTTTCTCTTTGTATCTCCATATTTCTACTCTTTATTGTTTTTGTTCATTTTCTAATGGCAGCTCACATAGGCTGCTAGGCTCAGTCCCCTCTCTAACACTTGCCTGTGTTTCCCCCTGTTTGGGCTTAAACATCTGTATCAGTCAGCTTCCCCTTCCAAGACACAATACCCAATACCCAATACCCACAACTTAAAGGAAGAGTGTTTCAGTCCATGGTCAACTGGCTCAAAGTCAGAAACACCATTGTGGAAGGGTTGGCAAAGCAAAAATGCTTAGTTCATGGTAGCCAGGAAGCAGAGCAGGGGAACAGTGCCAGAAAAGAACCTGCCAGGGACCATGTGTAGTACCCAAGGTTATGCCTCTGTGTCCCCTCCAGGTCACAACCAAAAGGGTGCTTTACTAAGCTCCCAGGCATTTATTAATCCAATCAAGTTGCCATATCATAATTACCCTTTCTACTACTTCCAACATACTACTTCTAGAAGTCAAAGGCCAGCTTGGTCACACTCTCCAGAGGCCCCAAATTCTCATGGTCTTACGAATCCGATCTAAAAGGACAGGCTTACAGCCCCAGGGCCCTCCTTCCCCACACCAGGCTGCAGCTTTCTGCCTTTATAAATTTTGAAAGTACATGAATATGCATAGGAAATGGCTGATTATGTAGTAAAGACCAGAGGGATGGAGAAGGGATGAGCATGGAAAGAAGAGATGCCTGAGAATTCCTCTGACTTCTCTAGCTGTTTATTTAGAAAGATGTAGTAGCATAGTGAGGCTCTGAACAGACTCTAATAATCTTCTCTTTCTTTCTTTCCTCTTAGCAAACTGCCTAGTTGGGCTAGAGCTGTGGTCCCCAAAATATTTTATGTGACAGAGAAGGCTTGGAACTATTATCCCTACACAATTACAGGTAAGTCTTAGCAGAAGCATACAGAGTGAATGCAAGGGCATGGCACTAGTGGAATTTCTCTGAGTTAGGGCTGATTATCCATGAAGGTCCTGTGGGAGCCTAAGGTAAAGGTCTAGAGGTTTATTTTCCTTACTTTTCCCTATGATTTATCAATAAACAAGTTGTTTACTTTGACTTGTTTGTTTTATAGTTCCTTCCCCAAAAACATTGATTATAAGTTTTGGAAAAGTTTCTTGTGAGCTGGGTGTGTGGCACAGGCCTATAATCCCAGCACTGAGAGGTTGACGTGGGAGGATTACAAGTTTGACCCCAGTACGGACAACTTAGCAAGGTCCTGTCTGAATAACAAACAATACAATTTTTTTAAAGGGTTTGGGGATGTAGCTCAGTGCAAAGGCTCTGGGTTTAGTTTTTTTGCCCCAAAAAAGAAATAAAAAAGAAAGGAAAGTTTTTGAGTCTCTCTGCCCCCAATGACTTCCTTTACTCTTGGATAATAAGAAAATCTTTAAGATTATTTTCCCCCAATGCAATGATAAACTCTCTGTGCTGGATACTGTACCGGAAGCTGTGGCCACTCAAAATTTAGATTTGGCCCCTTTGCTCGAACACACTGAAACTTGGGAACCCATGTCAGCATCATAACAAGTACTTTGTATGGGTTATAAAAGCTACTTTTCCACTTAAAAGGTTTTCTTTGTGGTTAATGAAATGCTCTACCAGAGTTATTAGTCTTTAATTCTGCTTTTATAATCCCAACCCTTGGGTTTTTAATTAGCCACAAACCTATAGGCTAATTGAATCTTGTCTTATTGTCCTTATCTGCCCAACCACAGAAGTGTCAGGTGAAAGAGTTGCAGAGCAAACATAAAGAGATTCAGTATTTATGAAAATCCAATTTTTAGAAGGCGTCCTTACCATATTTTTAATAATAACTGTAGCTCACTAGTAGTTGTTTTGTGGTTTTATATTACGTATGTGTAGTCTGAATCATCGTTATCTCTCTTTTTTTCTTTTCTCTCTTCTCCAAATGAACACCTGGAATCAGAATACACAGTAAGTTTCATCTAATTTTTTTAAAAAAATACTCTTTCTATGATCAGTGGAGTAATTAGAACATTCTTGTACTTTTCTTTTCAATGTAATAATTTTTTAAAAAGAGGAATAATTCAGAATCAAATATTTAAATGTAGGCTATTACATAGTTATATAATAATTTGAATATTCTCATTTGTTCAAGAACATTAATGTTAATTTAAAGTTCTTTGATAGTCATGCTCATAATTAACTTTTGCTTGTAACTTTTAAATAGTTTGATGGGTTTATTGATGGTAGTTCACTATAGTGGAAGAATAGTTTCCAGGAACATAATATTGAAGAGACTGTAGTAGTTATTGGCAGAAGGTGGGGTTTATATATTAGAGAACCTTAAAGCCATGAAGCTATATGTGCAAACAATTACATTGAGAGTTCAGAATTCTGGAGTGGGCAGTCTCTGTGGCTTGATGAAATAATTTAGTGACTTTTTGTCTTACAAGTCTCTGAAGTCATTATTTAGAGAGAAAGAGAGAGAGAGAGATTCTATAATATTGTGTTGTGGTTTTTCATTTGGATTATTTTCCTCAGTGGCTCACAGCTCAAGTGGTCATAATAAGAAAATGGTTAACTGATCTGTGATATTTGAATTTTATATTTCAATCAAAATAGTTGAAGGAAAGAGTGATGGTGAGAGAAATGCAGGAAAATAATTTATCATGTCCTTGGTGTGAGCTAAGTTTCCAGCACATAGTAGGTGCTTAGTTAAAAGTTATAGAAGGAATGCTTGCAAGGGTGATGATAGATCAGTAGATCGATAGATAGATAGATAGATGGATGAGCTACCATGGGCGTCAGGAGTCAGATAGGCCTGTGTGTTCTCTGGATCTAACACTTCCAGAATGGAATTCCTCAGCAAGTACCCCATTCATTTCTTAATATGGGCCGGTCCATGGTTACATCCTTATCTATTCTCTGCAGAATTTTTTTTTTTAAAAAAAGAATAGTATTCAAATTTTTCTTAAATCTATTTGTTCTGCATGACTGTTGATAATTATATCCCATCATACCTGAGTATTAAAATATCTTTTCTTTTATGAAATAATAAGAAAATATGTAGCATATTTTGCCCAGTGTCCTTAGCTTCAAAAAAAATGCTACACTCGTATGACAAAATATGAATTTTAAAGTATGTTATCCAGGAACCCACTGCTTAGGACAAGCAGCTCAGCTTTTCTGAGCCTGGTAACTCTTTTCTAAAATTGGGGAAATTTCTCCTTCTGGGAGCTACTGACATAAGCATCTGATGATCTTGACACAGAGGCTGGAAATTATTTTCTGCTGAGGATTGTAGTTTAAATATTTTCTGCTTTGTGGTTTGTAAGTTTCTATTATTGCAAAAGCAGCCACATGTGAACAAAACACACTGGCACTGTCATCTTCACACATGCAGTCCAGCAGGCCCAGGCTGGCCCCGGGCTAGTTGGCCAACCCGAGACCGAGTGCATGGGAGGCTCTCAGCACGGTGTGGACAAAAAGCAGCTGAGTGGTTCCCCCAGCTCCACTGTTGCTGAACCATAGAGGTGTTCTTTGGAATTGGCTGAATGCTGTCTCCAATGCCCATTAGGCATTGTTGTGCATTAGAGCTTATGCACATTACCTCCTGTTTATTTCCGTTTCTTTATTTGTAAGTGAGGACAATGTGATGACTATCTCATAAAGGTGATGTAAAGATTATATTAAATAATTCACTTGAAATCCTAGCCGAGTGCTCGGTAAATATTCAGTGAACGCACATTGCTGTGTTGCGGGTGATGCCAGCGCAGCTGTCCACCCCACGAATGCTCTACAGGAGCACACATTCGAAGAGATCTTAATGCCCTTCCGTGCGGACTGGGCTGCAGTTATGCTACCGGAAGGTACTAATTGTCCAGGAAATTGTTTTGTTTTAGTGATACCTGATACTATCCTGCTTTCTGCTTCACTGAAAGCTTGTGCTTGGACTTTAAATCCAAAATATCAATCAGTATGTGGACAAGAGAAGTCTTTTCCATGTAACTACACAAAAGCAGGTATTTGTCTGGTGAACCTTAGGATTAAATTTTACCTTGCTTGGACCTAAAACCTTTGGCATTCATTGGCTATAGAACTGCTGACTGTACCATAAATTGTGGACATGATAGATAATATTAACAGAGAAATGAAATCTGAAAAATGTTTGATGATACTGTGTTCATCTTTTAAGAATACGTATTAAGGTGTGACATTTTGGAAACAGTATGAAAACATGGCTTTTGTTCCTCTCTACTGGGGATCAAACCCAGGGCCTGGTGCGTGCTAGGCAAGCTCTCTACCATGGAGCTATAGCCCTAGCCCCAAAATATGACTCTTAACAATGCTGTCCCCATGGCACCACCCAGTCCCGAAGACAGTCCTCCTGCATGCGGAAGACTTCAGACCACCTTCTGTGAGCCTTAGTTGCCTCTGAGAATTTCTAAGGGGCTTGCTCTCTTTCTGCCAAGCCCCTGCATATTCCCTGCATTGCTCATCAGACTTCTAGAGAGGCATAAATTATTTTATTCTCATTTGACATAATCTGGGGACAAAATACATGAAGAAATTACAGTTGTACAGTCTCTTACTCACCTTTTCTGTATGACTCAAAGTGTGAGTTGGTCTCTCATTATTTTATTCTGCCCTTATTTTATTTTATTTTATTTTATTTTTATTCTTGCCCAGGCCATACCTTTGGGTACCATCTTTTAGTCTGAGGTCAGCAGTCACTTATGAAGCCTACATAATGTGCAAAATACAATGCTGGATGGCATCATTGAGCTGTCCTCCCTGGCCCTGCGGGGTCATAATCTAGATAAAAATAGCTGGATGTTCTGGTCAAAACCTGGGAGTCATCAGCAATTCATGGGGATTTCTGGAGATGAGAAAGGGACCCAGCTGAGGCCCCAGGCTGGCACCAGACATGTACTCTGGGCTGGACAGTGCCATGCTGGGCTTTCAGCAGAGATTCAGACCAGAGGGCAGAGGATTGGCTCTGGGGAATCCTGAAGTTGCAGTGTGAAAAGCAGAATGCTGGCCTCTGGGTTAGGGCCTGGGGTTTCAGGGACAGGGCAGTGGTCATCGGTGTGGGAGACTGTCAAGGACAGGGCACAGCAGTCTTAGGCAGAGGAGTACTCAGTCATGTGGTGCTGGGGAGCCAAGGTTGTTAGCTTCTGTAAGAAAAAATATAGGGTGTTCAGTTACATTTGAATTTTCAGATAAATAGAAAATAATTTTTGGTGTAAGTATGTCCAAATATTGCACGAGACTCGGTTCTGCTAAAAGGTTCTTCTCTTGTATTTTGACTGGTTTTGTGGCCTATGTTGCTGGGGATTGAACCCAGTGTGTCGTTCGTACTAGCTGAGTGCTCTGAACTGCACCTCCAGCCCCTGTCATCCCGCATTTTACCTGGCAGCTCTCCAGATGAGAGGTGGTAGTGCGGCAGAACTGATCTTGGCAATAATCAGGTCATGAAAACAGGGCACACCAGTGTACTGTGGCCAGGGAAGAGATGGGAAGTGTATAAGCCAGGAACCTGTCCTGCTGTGTACCTGCCACAATAACTCCAAGTGCCCTTTGGGGCAGCGGGGAGGTGCCTCTGGCCTCAGAGTTGGCTCAGGACCTGCATTGGCCAGAGTGGGGGCAGAGTTTGGGAAAATTAAGTCAGAGCTGATGAATATTAGCTGTCAGTACTGCAAGGAAGACCTGTGAAATGTAAGTGCTATCGTTGAAGTGCGATCTATGAGTTGTAGGAAGGAGAGAGAAGCATTATCTGAGAGAAATATAGAAAGATCCCTGGAAGAAGGTGGCATTGAAGCTGACCTGAAGGATGGTGGAGCTCCTCCCCTACAAACACCTGCTCTGTCTGGTCAGCTTGGGCCACATAGATTCGGGGTGGGGCTTAAACAATAGACATTTATCTCCCCCACTTCTAGTGGCTGCAAAGTCCAAGGTCAAGGTGCCCGGCTAATTCCATTCCTGGAGAGGGCTTTCTGAGTAGTTTGAAAATGGTCACCTTTTCACTGTATCTCCATGGCAAGGACAGAAACCAAGTTTTCTGGTCTCATAAGGACACTAATCCCATCATGATTTTCCTACCTTCATGACCTCACCTACACCTACATTTCGTACTTCCAAATGGTCCCATCACAAATATACTGTTCCACTGGGGGTCAGGGTCTCAGCACACGGAGGCAGGGTACAACTCACTCCATAGCACGCTTATCCTGGCCCAGCAGGCAGGTGCTGCTGCCCGATCCTGGCCATCAGGACTTGTGGAGGGCAGAGCGTGGAACACTCAATGTCAGGCTAAGGTCTGGATTTAATTCTCCATAGGGAAGCTGCATTCTTTCTGACTTGTTCGCTTTTGTTTTCCATCCCCGATATAGGACAGCTTTGCTTTCCATCTCCCCAGTGACTAGGGATCTGATCTTTCTCTCTGGCTCTAGGTCCTGTCCTTCAGGCCTCCAGCACACGTTTTGAAGCTGTCATCCCTGGCATGGACTCAGCCATGGACTCAGTCCAGCTCTGCCCTGGACACCCTGAGCTAAAGAGGCCACCCTTTGTGTGCTGCCTCTGAGTCTTTGTGCTCTGCCTCTGGGTCTGCTCTTGTGCTTCACGACAGATGCTTTCAATTGCCTTCATCTTCTTTCCTGTTCTAAATGCTTTTTTTTTTGGTACCGGAGATCGAACTCGGGACCTTGCGCTTTCGAGGCAGGTACTGGAACCACTGAGCTAAATCCCCTCTAAATGCTTTTTAATTGAGCTCTTTGTTCTGTCAATCCTTGAATCCCAAATACCTCTTTTTGATGTCTTTTTCAAGCCCCGTATTTCCTGTTCTGTACCCAAAAGGAAAACTTCCCCAGTGCCAGACTCCCACCTAGGGTCACCATACCACCCTTCCTCAGAGCCACAGCACTTAGGGCTCTGAAAACTCCCAACTGCTCAGGCAGTATTCACCCAGAGCA